ATTGTTGTTGAAACAAGTTATTGAGAGACCTCGCCCCCTCTTCCCCCCCCCCCCCTTCATTATCTAAAGAGCACGTTAGCCTTTCCTATTGTGCTCATTTTGTTAACTTCATTAGTTTCTCTTTACAGTGTCCAGTGATGCAGCCTGAGCCCAGGGCCAGGCAGGTAACTGCTTTAAATTAGCCACACTGGCCTCTCTTTTAAGCAGCCCCCTGAGGTCCCTGTTGCAATCGTGTGCTTTAATGATCCCTGAGCTGTCTAACTTTGAAAATCATGAAAGCAGCTAATATGCTGTGACTTCTGCTTCTGACGCTATTCATTAACATATCCCTGTTCCTTTCTGTTTGCCATGTATTTGCTATACACTTCTTATATTTAGGTTTTAAGCTCTTTGGGAGAAACTGGTTTTGATCTTTATTCATACAGTGCCAACCACAGTGGGGTAAGACCTCTAATGTTACTGCTGTCCTAGTAATAGATAGCATGTGAAAATAAAAAGTAGACAGTGACAACCAAGCTATCTAGAACCTCTTTTTTTTTTTTTTTTCCCCTATCTAAATTGGTGTTTCTTCCCTAATCTGAAGCCAAACAAGCTAATCTCTTCCTTCATTTCCTGCACCTCAGTCAAGCCTGCACAGACTGAGTTTTTTCCTCCTTGCTTGCTGTGGCAGGGGGCCCCCGACCCCCCACCCCACCGGTTGCGTTTTCCTGGCACGGGGCTCAGTGAAAATGGGGAGGGTAAGGCATTGCCTTCCCTCTCCACTTACTTGTAGTTTTATTGAATGAGGGAAGTTGGAAGGAGCCGCTTGGGCGCATATTCAGGCTCTGCTTGTACCCTGCTGCTGGTCATCTGGACTGCGGTGTATTTACGTACAGAGTGAGTCATGGCTTACGTAGCCCCCTGCCTCAGAGAATGGGCTTATAATGTGCTCTTCTGCCTGTGGAGCTTCCTTGCTTGCCTGACTTTGAGATCAGAATTTGGTTTTCAGGCAGAAATAGGGAACCAGATGATCAGCCTCACCGTTACTGGTGGGAGAGAGACTTCAGTGCCTCTCCAGAGCTTGGGCCTCTGTTATGTGATGGGAATATGGCTGTGAGGCTGCTATTTCTAAAGGCTAAAAGGCTCATGTATTTCTGCAAACTTGAACATATTAAAAAAATCAACCATGAAGTGTACTTACATTAACCCATTGGTTAAATGCAGCTGCTTCTGACAGAGTAGATAATTCCTGATTAGAAAGAGAGCGCAATGAGTATGCAAGCTATAGCTTTAGCTGTACCAAAGTACTCTTGCTGTAGCCTGTGGTGTAATCCGCTGTGTCTGGCCTTGCTGATGTGCAATGGAGGAGCAATTTTCAGTATGTGTGAAAAGGGAGAACATTCATGTTTTTCTAGTACTGATACTTTCTGGTAATGGTGAGTTACCAACTCTCTTAAAAATCAGGCCATCTGTTGCTTAGGTGTATTAGGTGTGCCTGACCTGGGTACGTAACGTGTACTGACCTCAGGCTAAGCGTTATTTTTCTGGGAATGTAAACCTAAATATTTTCTTCAGTGCAAAATGGATTTAAAAAAGGTATGTTGTTTTGATTGGTATTTGTACAGCATCTTACATATCACCCTGCAAGTGGAGAGCCTTTATTCTGCCACAGTACTTTGAACAGAGATAGATGACGGTATGAGCAGGGACGACAGATAGTGCTAAGAACCATGTAAGGTTATTGCCAATGGCTGGGACAGCTGATATTTTCATTTTTCCTATGCTGTTAAATGTGTATTTATTTCACCAATTTACTTGTTTTGGTTTTATTTGCCTGCTGGTCAGCATGGTTGGTTTTAACATGATAAATTGACTGTTTCCACTGAGAGAGACCTCAAGGCAGAACTTCAGAAGAGCTGGGTGCTTGCCGCTCCCAGCTGGGAGGTGAGTGCTTAGCACTTCTGCATGTTAGGCCTCTGGGGCTGGCATTTTTCAATTTGTCTTAAAGAAATATGCTCGGATCCCTTAGGCCCCTTTCCAAGCTATGCTTTTAAACACAACAGATCATTTTTGTATCAGGCAAGAGTCTCCAGCAGGAACACTGTCTGCAGATAGCTATCTGCACTGGTGGGCATCATTTTTCTAACTGTTTATAATGGCTTTGCTATCTCTCTGGTTAAGATCCAGCGTGAAAACTGTGCAGTAGGTCCTGTGCTCAGAGAAGATGACCATCTTACTTACTTCTGCAGCGTTTCCATAGCATATTCTACCATCTCCTTCGTAGCCCTTTGGGCACACACACTCCCAGCCATGTGAAGACTCAAACTGACAAGTTGCCTTTGAACCAGAAAGAGAGAATTTGTCAAATATTCAGGAGACCACTCAAGAGCAAGGATGGGCTGTAAACCCTCTTCCTTACACACATTCATATACAGACATAACCTTAACAAAGGATCTTCATACCATCTTCCATGGACGTCCTCGCCCTCCTATAGGACAAAACTCCACCAGCTGAGGGCACTAACTCCCTCATCTGCTCACCCTCCACTAAGTCTAGGAGTCTAAACCTTCAGTCCACCCTTTCTTACTTCCTCCCTCCATAAACTGGGCCCTGTTCTTTCACCTGACTACCGCAGACCCATCCTCTGCTCCCCCATGCTCTTCTTTAGCTCTGTCCCTGCGTCCCACCTGAGGCTGGTGTGGCTCTTGCAGGCCCTACAGAGCACAGCAGAGCCTGCAAGTCTGCTGAACGCATGCAGCTACTGATAGAGCTGATAGATGCCCGCGTAGAGATGCGTGACTTGAGTAAACATCTCAACAGGCTATTGCATCCAAATTGTAATTGCTGGTAGAGAAGCAGCATTTATTTACTCCAGGCTCAAGACAGTCCTTCTGTACAGGCAGAATTGGGATCGGTCCTTGCTGTCTGTCCTCAGCGCATTACCATACCGATGTGGTTCACATAGCATTTTTGGTGCTTGTAGCACTGCTTGGAAAGCTTTATTGCAACTAAGACAGAAATTGCAGGCTTGAAATGGCAAGGAAGCTCTATGGTGTGCGCAGGAGGCGAGGTGTGATATGTATCTGAACACTTTGTTCAGGGAATGATTAATTACTCACCAGATGATGGCATTTTCCATTTTGTTCCAGGCATGAGTTTATGGGTGTGCATTCAATTCCGTTCCCCTGAAATCCATCCTTACACTTGCAGTCATTCTGTTATTTCAATAAAACACAACAGTTCATTAAAATGATTAAAATAGCATGCATATTGGAGATGTGGTGAATTAGTCTCTCTGTGTTTCTGCGTAGGTCCATTGACTTCAGTGGAATGACACTGATTAATATCTCCAGAAGACCTTTATACCTGATATCTGCTCATGTACTTACTAAAAAGAATTGCTACCAGAATACCACCACGTAGGAGGGAGGGAGTTCTGGGATACGAACTGAACAAGACTGCTTTGGGTAGAGAGCGCCGTGTGGAAGTAGCCTTGTGGCTGGGAGGGAGAGGAGAATTTGGGGAAGAAAACAGGGTAGGAAGCACTGGCAGAGCAAAATGGGTGAGGACTAGTGCGGAAGGTGGCAATGAATGTGAGACGATGTACCTGACCGGGCCCAATGTATATGCAGGTGGCATTTTCATGGCACCCCGCCGTGGTGGGCAGCAGGCAGTTGTTGATGGCTGAGCAGTCCTTTCCATTGCCTGTCCATCCTGCCTGGCAAACGCACGTGTGCTCTCCTGGGCCTGTCTGAATGCACTCGGCCTGGGAGAGAGGCAGAGGCATCTGTTCAGGACGGTTAGGTGGCACCTGGCTTTAGGTATAAGGCTTGTCTAAGCAATAGTGATGCTGCTATCGGGGGAAAGAGCTTGAAATTGCAGTGAAAATTGTGACTCTTCCTTCTGCAATGGTTTCTGGTCAAACCTTCCTTACTGCCTACTTTTCTATGGTGTCAGGCTCTGTGGGTAAAGTTCATACTTACGTTGATATTACAGCCACCTGGGTTTAAAGTGGCACAAGGATCAATTTTGCTGCAGCTCATGCCATCTCCCTCGTAACCGGGTTTGCAAACACAGCTATAGAGACAAGAGGAGGAGGGAGGCATTAAACTTGATAGAGCAGCTGTGAAGTGATTGTTTTCTGTTGTAATATGCTATTTATAGGCAGCTTAAAATTGGTAACCTTGGATTCATGATGCAAATAGCTTAAGTGCATACATTATGGTTTTTTTCCAAAATATTGACTGGGTTAATTTAGTCAAATCAGGGATCCATTCTCTGTATATGAGATAGGGAGTGAAATTAATTCTGTGCTGATGTGACCTTTACAAAGGTAAGCTAATAGCGCTAAATTATGAGCTGGGCTTGTTCTCTCTCACTGACACAGAAGATAGCACTCTCTCCCTGAAATGCATGCAAGACAACGAGACCCCCTCTTT